CACACACACACTGTCACTCACAGACACACACGCTGTCACTCACAGACACGCTGTCACTCACAGACACACACAGACGCACACAGTCATTCATGGACACACACGCTGTCACTCACAGACACACACAGAGACGCACACAGTCATTCATGGACACACACACTGTCACTCACAGACACACGCTGTCACTCACAGACACACACGCTGTCACTCACAGACACACACAGAGACGCACACAGTCATTCATGGACACACACACTGTCACTCACAGACACACGCTCAGTCACTCACAGACACACACACTGTCACTCACAGACACACGCTCAGTCACTCACAGACACACACACTGTCACTCACAGACACACACACACTGTCACTCACAGACACACACACAGACAAACACACTGTCACAGACACACACACACAGACACACACACTGTCACTCACAGACACACACACACAGACACACACACTGTCACTCACAGACACACACACAGACAAACACACTGTCACTCACAGACACACACACAGACAAACACACTGTCACTCACAGACACACACACAGACAAACACACTGTCACTCACAGACACACACACACAGACACACATCACATACATTCACTAATAATTTTATAAATAAACATTTTCCACCCAGCCTCCCTACCTGGAGAGCTGGTGTGGATGCTGGATCGGTCCCTGAGGGCTGGGGCTGCTGAGAGGCGCGCGGCAGTGCTGTGATCAGGCGCGCGAGGGAGCTCTAATCTCCATCCTCTGCTCCCTCGCGGGCTGCCTACTGATGACGTCATGGCTCCCGCGGCATCAGTAGGCAGCGCGCGAGGGAGCAGAGGATGGAGATTAGAGCTCCCTCGCGCGCCTGATCACAGCACTGCCGCGCGCTGCGCCGGGGGTCGAGATGGTGGCCTGGCAGGAGGGAGAGCTTCCCTCCTGCCGGTCACTGAAATATTGCGCCCCCAGAGCCCGTGCGCCCTAAGGCGGCCGCCTGTGCCGCCTTATGGACGCGCCGGCCCTGGGTAAGATATTAGTTTATTATAGGGACAGGATGGGTTTTAAGAACACAGGACAAAGTCTGGAATAGTAGGCTGCAATGGCAGGAAGCCCGGACTAAAAGTTGTCAGTAAACCAGTAATGCCCTGATCTATAGCAGAGAATGTCCTTAGCGTGGGTTGCTGTATATAAGGAGGGAAGCTGCGCTACAGCAGCTGCAGGACCACAAGTTGGTCAAGCGCCTGGTTTAACCCCTTAAGGACACATGACATGTGTGACAAGTCATGATTCCCTTTTATTCCAGAAGTTTGGTCCTTAAGGGGCTAAAGGTGTTTATTTACCACTTACACGGTGTCTGGACTGTCACTATTATGTTACAGACCTTGTGATTCTTGTTTTCATGTAAATAAGACTTTATCTGGTGAGAAGCCAGTGTACAGTTCGAAGGGGGATGCTTCACACATGACACACTTCTGACTTTTCAACATTCACTCGACTTCGACACATATCTGCTAACTGTTGGCAGCAGCACTTGGAAGGACAAACTGTCAGGGCCCCAAATTGGACTTGTGTTAGCTGCAGATCTATTTTTATAGTCGTGATAGCAATGGGTTGTGTGTTACAATTAAGGGACCTTAGGGAATTGGCAAAAAAACAAATCAGTGAAAAAAACGTTTGCAGTTAGGAATGCAGGATTTGGGAGATGTAAGAATTAACCCTTTCCCTGCCAAGGAGAACATGCAAACGTAAAGATTATTATATTAACCCAAATGGTCCACCAAAAGTGTGTGGGAATGGCAGAGTCAGAAGGCATTTGCTTGGTTAATGGGTCCTATTAACCTTTGGTCTTTGGAATAGGTCTTGTAACCTATTAACCTTGCTTTAATTAATAGACGTGTACATGGCTAGAAAATTCAACTTGGCCAAGCCATTCTTCCTGAAATGTTGATTTGGCTCAGCAGAATTTCAAAACTGATTTTCATACTATATTTATACACATGTACATATTATGGTGACGGAGCTCCAATACTCAATCTGAGAACCTCTGCCAGGTATCCCTTACCCTCTGGGTCAGATCAGCTAGACTGATTATAGCTCAGTTCCCAAGCATCAAAACAGACACACTAAGCATCAACACAGACACACTTTATTTAACAAGTCACACATGTTTATACAGGTATTCTCAACAGGGGGTGATCAAACCAAACAATGCAATCCCACCCAGGCACCTTGGTTTATGGGACATAATTAAATCAGAGGTAAGCTTGTTTGCGCAGGGTCTTCATCAACCTATTGTTCCTGTAACTTTTTGTAATTGTCTCATTTATTGTTAAATTTCCCCCGGTCTCAAATAATGGCTTCTCGGAACCTGTAGAAGGGAACTCCTTCAGGTCCTTGCTGTCACTAGATGCTATATCACCTCCCTGACCTCCCCTCTAAATGGTGGCCTTTTGACCCAGCGATACCCACTTGATGTTTCACTGGATCGCGACTTTCTTCTGATACGGTGTACAGTTCCATGATGTTTCTGGGTACCACCCAGTCAAGCATTCTGTGCTCAATTCAGCCCCAAGAAGTGTTCTGAAAGCCTGTGAGGGCTAGCTGGGCCAAAGGATAGGCTCCCTTATGTCCTGTAACGTCCTGGCACAGCATAAAGGGGAAAACATGGTGATAAAACTCTCTTGTGAAATAACTGGCCCAGAGTCCAGCGCCAGTTGTTAAAGTGACCACGTTAATCCGTCACAATTATAAATATATTTTGCAGTACTCTGATAGAAGCATTTTGCTGCCATTTGGTTCACAGCTCAAGAGAGAAAAAGTAACGAATATATGGAAAAAGAGGAAGAACAGTTAAAAAAAATCTATATTTATATATGTATTAAATATATAGAGAGATTTTTTTAATGGCTGCTCTTTTTTCCCCTCTCTTGCTCACTTCTCATTTGATCTGTAAATAAAATCATCATTTAGGTACTGTCCTCTCGATATCAATCATTTTTTTATTTGGCGCAGCAGGGGATTCCATAATCACAAACCAAAACGAACATGCTTGACCATCGCGTTTTTCATGATTTGTATTTTTGTGATTTTGGTACATTTCAGCACGGAGTTTGGAAATCCGATTGATCATCCAATCAGGCCAAATTTAGACGAATTAGAGTACCGACTGATACTAGCCCACCAAGTAATTCATTAAATCGGCTCCCTATCCCACAGTATTAGATGGGGAAAGATCAGTGAAAAGATCCCCATAATGCATATCAAAAGGGTCAACATTTAGAGTGCACAGCTCAATTAGGTAGATCCACAGACTGAGCTATTAGACTACATTTTACTAGTGCAGAATGTTAGCAATCTCTTGGCAGCCCCCTAGAGTGGGACATGCTAACTGTAATAGAAAAAAATAAATGAACTGTGTGTTAGGAACAAAATTAACATCTGTCCAAATCTATTTACTATTTTATATAGATCTTTACTTTAAAATAAATCATTTAGCCAAAGACAGTGCTTGGTATTAAGAAGTTCACATAAGTTTTAATTGTCATTACATCTGTGATCATAGATTCAGCCCATGGGGGGGAGGAGGGGGGTGTACATTACTAGCTATAGCCAACTATGCTTGCCACAGGGTATCCCAGTCAGGGTGGGTGTGTCAGTAATAATGCACGCCCCCTCCAGGAATCCCCAAGCACTGCTTTACAGATAGGCGGGGTTCTGATGGAATCTTGACCTGGATGGGCGTGGCTTAGTGAAAGGGAGCTTTTAAATGCCTTGCTGGAGCTTCGTGCTGTCAGACTGTATGAGTGCATGTTACAGACATAGTCTAATAGGGTGAAGTGCATGGTGGTGAGCAGAGACTCTCTGTGCAAGCTGCTGCTACCACTGGGCACATTTGGGTCTTCTAATCACTGCATAGGATAGTACTGAGTTATCAACATGCTGAAGAATTGTGGGAGAAAGCTGCTGCTGTCCCTGATGGGGGCTACTTTGACCTGCTTGCTGGTCCTGGTGGTGGATCAGCAGAGGAGGCAGGTAGTGGAGGTCGTCCCTGCGGAGGGATCAGACCCTAGCATCCCTTTGGTGGTTGAGTCGTCGCCTGCAGCGGCTGTAGAGCAGCACAAAACCGGCCAGGATGTTCCAAGTGGCAAATCCTTCTCTGCTTATTTCAACAAGCTGACCAGGGTACGGAGGGACGTTGAGCAGGTAGCCACTCCAACTAGTGGGGGTGCACAGGGGGCTACCAAACCTCCAGTGGAAGACATCACCCCAAAAGATATTTTTATAGCTGTGAAGACCACCATGAAGTTCCACAGATCAAGGATGGATCTTCTAATGGACACGTGGATCTCCAGAAATAAGGAGCAGGTCAGTATTTGTGTATTGGCAGTGTTATTAAACCATTGTAGCAATGCTGATAATCAGATTTGGACTCGGACATCCCTTTGAAGTTTCCAAACAAAAAGGGGGCGAATAATGTTAATTTGTTACTGTATCTTCTTGCAATATGCCTTGTTAACGTTTTTGTTGCCAGGGCATTTTAATCTGACACATCTTTCATGTTACTGAGTGGCTGGCTGGTCGTAATGAGTATATAGTGTATTTATTGTACTGTAATATATATATATAATTTTTAAATTAATGTAGGCGTATCTGATTACTCACTAGTCCTCTTTCTAGACAGTAGGGTTAACCGTTGTCAGTGCACCTTCAGCTCCCATCACGTTCAGCCAGCCCTTTTCATTAGCAGGCAGAGTGTCTCTCTATGGGTTTTCATTATATTTCCAGTTTTTGCCTATCACTAAAAGATCACAAGTGGGAGCCCTTAATTCTCCCTGTGCTGTTGTATATTCCATTTAAAATATTTATTTCATCCCCTGTCATATTGATATCTGTAGAGGAGGTTCTAGGGAGGAGCATACAGTATAATTTCTGTTTATACCTCCTACTTGTCCCATATGAACTCATGGAGAGAGGTTGATATTGATAAGGCAGGTAGGTCAATACCATAACCACTCATGCACAGATCCTATAAGCACTCTCAAATAGAGACACAGTTGCAAGCCTAACAAAATAGAATATTTTATTATTAAATTGTGATGATTCCAAAATAATTGTTACTTGACTTTTTAGTAGGGTGTAGAGTTTGGGTGACATCTATTTATATATATATATTTTTTTTTATTTTATTTTTTTTACTTAAGAGTTTTTGTATGTGAAGTTTAAACCCTGCATTTGAATTGAAGCAGGATCAAGTCCTAGCGCTCTTTTATTCATACCTGGAATTGTATTCTGTGCCCTGAGGCCCTATTTTATTTCCTTTTATCTACAACTCTTAAAATAGAAGAAAAAAAATCACAAAAACCCCTCTTTTGCATTAAAGACAGGGAGACGCGGATAAATTCTTGCAAGCCTCTATAGAATGACATCCCTGAGAATGGGTTCCACCGCTTTCTTCTTTTTTCCTTTTTTTTTTTTCTGTTTTCTTTGATTTTGTAGCCTTTTTAAATTCCCAGCGAACCATGTATCTGCTCTCACGCTGTCCTCCTGTGCGAGCTAACAATGCCTCTTTTCTACCAGCCCAGAGAATGAGTCTACCGTCTCTTGCAAGTGGCTCTTTCATGGGAACTCGTCAGCCCAAGCTAGCGCTGTGGTGGCCAGGTCATGTTGCTTAGAGATGCGGGCCAATGAAGCCAAAAGAAGGGGGGCTTGTATCAGCAAGACATGGTGGGGTGGGAAAGGCTTTCTTGGACTGTTTGACAAGATGACAGGCGTTGTAGAGAACTTGAGGGACAACCGTTTGAGGGAAATGTGAAGTTAGCAAAACTCTAAACAGCTCTTAAGAATAGAGAGGGCCTCTTTTGGCTTTAGTTCTGACCGAGTGACATGGACATTGCGTCTTTCCACCCGAGAGAACCTAAGAACTCATGATGGCTTCTGCTCAAGCTTTTTCTTTCAGCATCCTGAATATCAGCTTAGTTAAGCTTTGAATGAAGGAACCTTCTCGCTCCTCAAAAGGCTTCCAAGCTTTTTGTATGCTTATGGGTTTTTCCATTGACAAGAACATAAGGTTTAAGCCATTGAATTATATTTTAGGTTGACTGTCAGATCTTGCGTAAGACAAAAAAATTACCTAGTTTCATGGGTTATAATCTTTTACCAGTAATAATCGAATAAAGTCTTGGGTGAAGTTTGGCTTGACAGTTTGCCATCTCGGCCCACCTTTTTCCTTGAGCTAGTTGAAGCTTCTCATTTTTTTTTGTCAGCAATTTATCTTGTATGTTTTGTCAACATATCTTTAAAATTGCATTCGTACTGCCAGATCCGGAGGGCCCAAGTGGAAAATCCGGTCTGCTTACCTCCAGCAACCCCCTGTGTAGTAAGCATTCAATGTTTAACCCAAAACAAAGATGTTCACTCCCTCGCACGCGCATGTACACCACCCCTAACCTTGCCACAGGGTTAACGTTGTAGACTAGAACACGAGTAATGAGCATATACCTGTCTCTTAATGGCTGTTGTACAACAGTTAAAGGCTGTGAGGCACATATCGATCATGCCTTTCTTGCATTCCGTGTTCATTTAAGTAAATGAAAGGAATATTTTCTGCTGAATTGAGGTATTACATGTGTGGAATTAAACGATTTTTTGGGTCAGTGACGTTCATTTTCAAATGCTGTGAGGATTCTTGTGACATGAAATGAGACTCTTCCGAAAATATATCTTACAAGAAAGGGATGATATAAAATCAGCATTAAATGATATAGATGTGTTTGTGTTTTGCGCAAATACCAAATGGCAGGTGCTCACATACTGCAATTCCTATGATCCTTTGCTAGCCAAATCCATAGCAAGGCGCTGGCAAAGGATTGTGGGAGTTGTGTTTCACCAACTGATATAGTGACAGTAATTATTTAAATAACATTATTTGGATATTATGGCATTATTGCAAAGACCCATTCCTTCCAGCAGCCAATAGGTTAATACATAATTATCCATGAAATGTTATCTAATTGTTTTATCGAAGTGCAGAAGTAATGAGAAAATCCATCTAGCCAGAGGGACAATGTCCCCTTTGAATGCCACAGAGACACAGGTTTCCTGTGTCTTATCAAGTGGTGATAGTGTTACTGCTTTCTATTGTCTGTGGTGATCTTAAATTGCTATTTTCATCACACAATAGAAGGAGGCTGGGACTAAAGTATTTAAAGAGCCAGGAATCTCAGTTAGTAAAAGATTACGGTTAGTTAGTTTTTTAAATGGGGCCAAAAAAAAACAAAAAAACACAAAATTGATAGTGTTGATGAAAGGTGTCACATTTGGCAAGGAATCTCTTTGAAATATGTAAAAAGGAAATTTTTAACTGTACTAATTTGCTTAAAACCAATGAAAATAGAGGCCTTTTTTGGAAAGTACTTCTTAAATAACGTAAATGTCCTTTTTTAAGTGTAGCATGCCCTATTTTGTTGAACTAGGGCAAGCATTATTGCAAAATAAAGATGAGCCTTAGATAAGGGATAAGTACATTTACTGCTCATGTCCGTTTTCTGACAGCGTTAACCATTTCACTGCCGAGGCTGATCTTGTAATCAATAATATTTTATTTTTTTTTAACCATGTTCTAGCCAGGGAAATGGTTACAGTCGCCCAGAATTTGCATAACTCAAAGATTCTGACAGGCCCTGTGGCTGCAACAAGAGATTTGCACCTGTGCCAACCCTTGTCCTCAGGTGTAACGGCTCAGAGGCACGCAGGCCCTCCCACGACATGCTCCTGACATGCTGCTCTGTTTATATATCAACAAAACAGAGGCTATAAGAGTCTTTACTGTTTATAGTCTAAACACAAGTATGTTTATGGTCCAAAGGAATCTGATCTGACTGGGCAGAACTGGTTAGTACCACACCTGAACAGGTAGTGGGGTAACCTGAACAGCTGACTGTGTGGGACCTTTGTTTTGGGCTCATGGAGTTGCCCAGAATAAAGTAATTAGATTTTTGTTGAAACAAACAAACAAGTCTTTAAAATGTACTGCAATAATAGGATAGTCATATTGGTTACATGAAAACAAAGTAGATGATCCACTGGGATCTCTAATACCTACTAACTGACCTTGGTTTCCTGACATAGTCTCTAGATTTCCTTGTGCAAGTTTTCTTTGAGCGAATTTTGAAGAGACAGTTCTGACAAACATGACGTTGATGCTGGCTGCTAAGCTTGGGGCAAAACTGATTGCATATATCTGTTTATTTTTAAAATGTCTTTAATTCCATCTTTGATCAGCTGAGATCACGTCTAGGAGAGATAAGCTTATTGCACAAGTTGTTCGTCCTGGTTTTTTTTGGTTCTGTTTTTTGACAGATGATAATTTATACGATGAGTTACAGGTATGAATTTCCCTTACCCCTCCCGCAAGCAGTAGCAGCACTTTTTAACTTGGAGAGAATGAAGCCGGTTTGTACCCAGTTAAACCTGTCTACCTTCACCAGCGGGAAATTCAAATTCAAAAATGTGATTCTTGCCCAACACACCAGATGATTCAAATCAAATCCAAACAGCGCCTGTATAAAATAGAAATTGGCTTTTTCTTTAATGTACCTGACCCTTCACGTATAATAATAAAACATTTATGTAAAACCACAAGTGACCTTTTACCTATTATACTGTGCTATGGAATATGTTTTAGTGGCATCCAGTAGTTATATTAAATATATAATGTTGACTAAACAGATTGACATTTTGCTTATACTTTTTATTTTATTTATTTTTTTACTTAAAACTGTGGCGACTGCCCATTGTTGGCTAGAGTCACTATAGGGGACCTTTATGGGGGGTGCTTCATTGTCCCCACCTACTGCCCTGGTGGTCCCTATTGTTACAGGAGGAGTTGGCATCCTGTCTTTCTTCAGACTGCTGATTTTGAGAACAATAAGGCTTCCTCTGCCTTGGGTTCAGGCCCCCAGACAAAATACTACTTTTTTTCTTTTTTGTGATGTGGTCGAAACTGAAATTTAGAGAAGTTTTAGACAAAAATAATCTCTATAGAGTTTTGCAATTTGTAAAAAGCAGAAGTGACTTACTGGAAGGAAGAGAGTCACAGATGGTAAAACCACCAAATATTCGCTAAGCAGTTATGGATTGACTATTTGGTGCCAATATCAATATTTGGGGGGGATCATCAGCTGTCAACAATTTATGGTTTAGTGAATATTCAGGGCACTTTTTTTTTTTTAATCTATTTTTTCAGCCCTGACAGTATTAATTGTTAAGAAATCTGTCATTTATATATTTTTGTCTTTCTGGTCTTAAACATTTGGCGATCTCTAGAAACAAAGACAAGTCCATCTGTCGTCGAAACTGTTTGACGGTTCTTAAACCACCAAGTTTCTATACTGGTAATTTAACCTACAATTAAAATGTAAATTCATCTCACAGTCCTGTTACACACCTCAAATGTCACTTTGCTCCAGTGCCAACAATGGAGCTGGCTGTCACCTACCACCTACGTTTACTGTGGCCAATAAAACTTTACAAAAGATTTTATAAAACCGCAATTTGCTCGTAAACTCGGTTTTCCTTACAAGATGCCATTAACTACTTCAGCAAGTGACTGTCTGATACAGCTGTCTAAAACATCCTATAACTTTGCCAGACAGAATAATTTAGACACAAACTTTTTTTCTTTAAATCTTTTTTTTTTTTTTTTTTTTTCTTTTTAAGTATTTTGTTTGATGTGAATGTTTTCATGTGTAGTAAATTTATATATATATTTATTTTTTTATTCTCAAACCGTCATGGCTAATCTTGGCAATTCAAATCTATTTCTCACTGTCCCAAAAAAGTCTGCGTAGGCCTAAGAACCTATCCCAGATTTCAGAGCTATTTAGCGGGGGATCAGATAAAGGTTAATTGTATTTGGTTTTAATTGACTTTCCTGACTAGGCTCCTCAAGCCATGGGTTTGGCAGGAAGGGGTGTGAGGCAGCAGGTCTGCAGATCATAGATAAATCCCAAGAGGTGACACTTGGTGGCTTTTCAAAATTGCTTGTCCCTTCCTCCCAGTGAGACTAGCACAAGAAGACAGGCTACAAACTTCCGGAGTTTCCTTCCAATTCAGTGGGTGCATGCTGTTCTTTTCCTGTACATCCAAAAAGAAGACTTTGGTACTCGGAAATCATCCTATTGTCTTTCTGTGCTAAAGGTGGTGGTTGTGGGGAATCGTGGAGACAAAAAGGGCTAGATTGTTCTCAGTCCAATCAGGTCATAAACAGTTTGCTTTAATCTATAAATAGCCATAAGTCTCCAGCTGAGTCTTGGCTTGACCTTAAACAACAATATAAAAACTGTTGTTTATCAGATAAAAGATAAGTACGACTTTATATCCTGCAGGGCATGCCATCCTTGCTTACGGTGTAATAGTTAATCACTTCTCAACCCATTAAAATGCCAAAAACATACCACATAAAACTATAATAAGAATGTACAGATTTTAAATTTTTTATTTATTTATCCCCCCGACCCTTTTTTCAGAACAAAAAAATCCACAATATACTATTTTTTTTCTTTTATTTATTTTAATAGTCTTGCTGATGCGTTAAAAAAAAAAAAAATCTATAGATCCACGTTTTTAGTATTTTTTTGGGGGAAAAAGTGTACTATATTAGGTTTGCTCTAGATAATCCTTATATTTTTGAAGGGGCGAGGGTTGTTTTTTTCTCTATTGGATAGTAAGTGAGTTAAAGGAAAGACAACCAAGTAAATCATCCCCCACCCCCTCCGCACTCCTTCCGTCCCACACCCCTTCCATTCACCCGGCTTAACCAAGCCAGCTGTATGCAAATAGGGATGGACATGTCTTGGCTTAAACATCACCTCACTGAGTAAAGTTAGCCAGGAAAGTTCAGGCTATTGTGGAGAAACAGGCCCCATTCATTCTTCTGATACTCTACCTTCATCCTTCATGTCATTAGCAAATAAAAGCGAGGATCCTGCTGGTTAGAGATTATTGGATGTGTTTATCTTGTTCCTAAGGACTCTTCATTCCTATCTTCTTTGTGTTTTTTTTTGGTTTTTTGTTCTTTTGTAAGTAGAATTTTGCATTTTTTTTTTTATCTTTACAACTTAGAGTATGCAACAGCTGCCGAGACATCCTTTTTCAATGTATTGTGTGTGTTCCATCAAAACGGATTGCTGGAATTATTTTTCCCAAATCCTTCTTTCTCAAACAAAAAAAGAACAAATTTTAAGAATAACCACATAGGCCGCCGGCATCTGTCAAGCATTAGCTGTGTAAATAAGGGAGTGCTGCCAGGCAGGTGGGATAGGGTAAGGAAGAAAGGAGAAACAGTCTAGGTATGTTAAGGGCCAACAGAACCATACGTCTCGGTTAGTTTGAGGAGATATAGTGTTACATAAAAGTTGTGGTGGGTGTGTTTGTGGAGAACAAAACTACAGAATAAAGTAATTGGAAGCTAACTTGAATTGGCAGACAGGTGAACAGCCCAATAATGCACACACCCTGATCAGAGGCAGGTTGAATAGAGACAGTCTCGTGCCGCAAATAAGAGGCAGCTGCTTTTTGGTATGTAGCTAAAACATACCTTTAAGGCATTATGTTTTGAAAAGAATATAATAACAGATGGTTAATGTCAACTGTTAGAATTCATAAAGAAAAGAGTAAGTCTCTTAAAAAAAAAAATTTAATTTTTTTTTTTGTAGCAGAGATATGTTTAAAAACATCTTTGCTCTGAGGGGCACTCAAACCTTAAGCATGTCCGATCTCTAGTATTTACAAGGACTAGAGACCTCCGTAATGACTGCAGTTCAAATTCTAGATATAGATAGATCTATATCTTCCCCTTTTTCGTTGTTGACACAGGACATTCTTAATCTTCTCTTCATAATGGTAATATTTGTGGCAGGTTATTGAAACGGATATTATATCTGTGTATATTCGCGCATGCATGTCTTGGACACACTAACAAGCATAAAATGCTTATATTCTTTAAACATGCAGTTTGCAAAGCAGAGGTTTTGATTTAGTAACCTATGTATTTAGGGATATTCTCGCCCTTTGCCTGCTTGCTCCCCTGTCTCTCTTCATTATCACAACCTTCATTTACCAGCCTTTTAAGAGGGGTGATAATGTAGGTTCCTTAAGCAACACAGCTGTCGCTCTCGAAGATCCCACACAATGGAGGTTGCTTGTGGATAGGTACAGAGTAGTTGCAAATTACATGCCTTTCGTTTTGTCCTCTAACCATCTGCTTCCTTTAACACAGCCCCAGGTGCACAGTTTAAGCAGATATTTAATGTGGCTTTCACCTTCTTTTGTTTTGCAGACTTTTATCTTTACGGATGGAGAGGATGAAGAACTCCAGAAAAGAACAGGTGAGTGTAACAATTGGAAAAAAAAAAAACAAACAAAAATAAAAAACCCCATTAGAACTTTCCTTAGTGCCTGCTGACTAATTACCGTACTAGAATCTGAAAGAGCCCCAAAACAATCGTACTTTCATTTCGGATGATCACGAATGATCCCCTAAAAAGTTTATTTTTTCGGGATGATAGTTGTCTGTTAAATCCAAGAATCCCTGAATTAAGGTTTCAGACTTTTGAAATTTGTTACGGGGGTCTTGTACTAGCTCTTGCCCCTTTTTAATTCTTGTTTCTGGAATGTGTCAAGAACAATTGTTTGTCCTGGCTTTTTTTTGTTTTAGAATTCTTTTTAACCACTCTGCTATGGAGTAAACCAGAGTGTGGAGCAGCAATAATCCAGTATGGATTGAGAACACCAGCAGCGTTTTTTTTTCTTTCTTTACCAATGCAGCATGTGTATTTTTCCCCCATTGTGTTTGGGTCATGCCCTTTATTCTTCTCATGTAAATCAATCCCATTCAGACCCCCGAAACAACCTCTATTCAGTGTAGTCAGCCAGTAACAGGTGGCCTCATCTGGGAAAGTCCGTCTTCAATAGGACAAGGGATCTAACTGAATATCTCTGAGAAAGAAGCCCCGGGGAGTTAATTCTAATTAACCCTTTCACTCACTCTGCCCATATACTCGGTATGGACCAGCAACAGTGATACCCCGTCATTTGTTAACTATTATTTTCCCATTAGCAGCCTATAAATTGCACAGTGCTAGGCAGCTCTTTTCATTAAATTCCCTACAGTATGATGAAATGTATTTGACCCTGTCTGTCTCTAATTTACATGTATGTGTTTAGATTGTGCCATGATTCTAAAAAAATATATATATTTTTTTTTTACAGGAAATGTTATCAGTACAAACTGTTCTGCTGCTCACAGCCGTCAGGCGTTATCCTGTAAGATGGCCGTGGAATATGACAAGTTCATTGAGTCTTCTATGAAGTAAGTATTGATATAAAGATGTTGTGTAATTACTGAGCCCCCTTTAAAAAAAAATGTTGCCATTTAACGTAACTGTAATCCAGTGCTGATGAACAATCCTACCCCAACAATCGCTCAACCCTCCAATCTTTCTAGAGAAGTTTTAGATTAACACAGCATCTGGAGTTTACATACTTTTCATTAAGTTGAAGTGATTATGGTACTTAGTCTGTCTCTTTAAACTAGTGTAGACCGTTTGCATAGAACCTACTATTCCTAGAAGTAGACAGCTGCAGTTTGATTGACTGACTGGCAAAGTGGGACTTGTAACAGTACCAGATGGAGTAACAGATGTTGCATATGCCTGCTCTGGGCTCCCATTTTTCCATATTTATTAAAACATTAAAAAATATAGAAAAAACCTTGTTATGGGGGTGTGCCAACAAATAGTTTCTTTGTATCTGTTCTGGAGTAACCTTGTTTCTCTCCTACTTTTTATCAGGTGGTTCTGTCATGTGGATGACGATAACTATGTGAACATTCGGACTTTGGTGAAATTGCTGTCCCGGTACTCCCATACCAATGATGTTTATATCGGGAAGCCCAGTTTGGACCGTCCAATCCAGGCAACAGAGCGTATCAGCGAAAACAAAATGGTAAGCGGGGACCTGTCTGGAACACATTGTGTTAACGAGCATTTACGGATACCGATTAATAGAAGAAAATCAAAACTGAGTTTTAGAGTAAACTCATAATTTTTTTGTGTTTTTTATCTATCTTTACAGCGTCCCGTCAATTTCTGGTTTGCCACAGGAGGAGCTGGATTTTGCATTAGTCGTGGGCTGGCACTAAAAATGAGTCCCTGGGCAAGGTAAGAATTAGTGACCTTTTTCAAGTCTCAGTCTAAATTTTTATTTCAGTCCCCCTTTTCCTATGCTCCCTCAACAAAGTATTCATGCAATGCGTTAAAATGTTTGTTGCCTTTACAGTGGTGGACATTTCATGAGTACCGCAGAGAAGATCCGGCTGCCTGACGATTGCACGATTGGTTATATTATCGAATCTGTGCTCGGAGTTCCATTGATTCGCAGCAGTCTCTTCCATTCCCACTTGGAGAATCTCCAACAAGTTCACCAGAGCGAGATACAAAATCAGGTGAGCTTAACGTTCTGTGAAGAGAGTCTCTGCTAACAGAACTGATAAAACAACTACACATTCTGAGGAACTCATGACATTGCATGAAACAACTTGAATTCAAATATTGGATAGATGAATTAACAAGTCTTTTTCTTCTGGTTTTCAGGTGACATTGAGTTATGGAATGTTTGAAAATAAGAGGAATGCTATTATAATGAAGGGGGCATTTTCTATCGAGGAAGATCCTTCACGGTAAGGACACTTATTAAGAAAACATTTTTAGATTATTTACGAGTGCTGTACTACGAAATGTCTTGAGGTCACACAACTTACATTTACTTGTAAAAGATGTTCTGGACATTCAAAAAATAGCAGCTACAGAATAAGGATATTTCTAAAATCCAAACAAAATCTATTTTTTGGGAGAGCCTTTATAACAAACTGTGCCTTTATAACAAATCTTCTTATGTTGAGCTTAACATGGCTTAAAGCAGGGATGAGGGAACCTTCGGCCCTCCATATGTTTTGGACTACATCTACCATAATGCTCTTACAGCCATAATCAAGGGAGATGTAGTCCAAAACATCTGGAGGGCCAAAGGTTCCCCACCCCTGGCTTAAAGGAACACTAGTGTTTGGAATACATCTAAGTAGTCCTAAAACTAAAGTGTCCCTCTGCACCCACTGGCCATGATAGGGTAAAAAAAAATGACCTTTTAGTCACTCACCTTACTCTGGCGCTGATGTCTCCAGCGCTGGGTCGTGTTCCTCCTCTGCTGATGTCAGCCGATGAGGGTGGTGGCTTGGCAAACGCCTCATAGAAAAGACTAGCTACTTCTAGTTATGACTCAATTCCCAATAAGCTCTTCCAATCTATTCTCTTGGGTTGTCCATAATTTAGTCTGCCAAATCCAAGAAGACCATGGTTCATAATTATTAGCCCCATACGTGTTTCTGAACAGAAACCAATGGACCATCAAGGAGATCTAGTTATGTTACTTTCAAAACTGCTTCAAATTATACAATTTTATTTTTGTCAGCCAGTCAGTTTCCATAAGCCAAATGACAGACTTTGTTTTATTTCTGTTTTGTTCATTTGAGACCAGGAATTAATAAATTTATTTCATTTATTTTTTAAGGTTTCGATCTATCCACTGCCTTCTATATCCAGACACTCCCTGGTGCCCTCAGAACCGCACATACTAGAAGACATCTGATCTTCTCAAACCTCGTCCCAAGTTCCCTGGTATCCAAAGGGCTTAGTGGGACCTGTACGTTCTTGCTGTGATCGTCACTTCTTTCTACGGATTTTGTTTGTTTTTATTTTGCGTGCTGTGTTGAACACACAGCGTTTTGTTCGGTAGGCTGCTGTGCGGCCGATTTCTGCGCTATCACTCTGCCTGAGCAGAGAATGAGAAAGTATTTCTTCAGAGACCTGTGGCACCTCCTTTCGTGGCAGATACATGGGGATTTCCTGGAAGAGTCTGAACACTGAAGCTCTCGCAATCCCTCATGTGCCACAATACTCGTGTCTATGGACTCCTATTTACATTGCTTTTGCAGGGTCTTCTCATAGCTATTCTCATAGAATTTAAACGGAAGACCTGCATGCTTATACTGCCTTCTTTTATTGTTACAAGCTATCTTTAGCTTTAATTGTGCTTATATTTTCCAAAGGGGGGATGTATTACTCTCCCCATCTAGCAATCTAAGGGTTAGCCCCATGAGTTTGCCATTTGGGCAAGAATGGGTGTTAACACTTTGAGAGCCGGAGGATCAAAACCACCAATGACAGATATATTTCAGCCATTATATAAATTGAATTAGTGGGTATATTTATATAGTTTAGTGGCCAATGTTGACACTGCAGATGTTTGTGGATTTTCCCATGATTCTCTGCTAGCCAATGGCAATGATGTAGACTCCGGATTTTGGTCCAGATGAAGGTTTTATTTCCACTAATCCTCTATATATATATATATATATGATCATTCTAAAACAATGATTTAGTCTAGTAAAGAAAAAATAATTGTCACTTTTTTTTGCCTGGGGTAAGGCAGCTTTCAAACAGGTATTGAAATGTTTTAAAAAAACAATATATATATATAAAAATATAATATATAAATTCAGAGAACTTTGTGCTTTTAACCATTTCCCTGCCATGGTGTGCAATAATCCATGTATTGGTTTGGTTTATAGCTTATTTGCCCCTTTGGTAGTGAAGTAGTTAAAAGCAATTGTGGCACTTTGATACATTGTATCTACAAATTCAGAGCTGGACTCTTAAAGAGAACTTTATGCTGCAAGTGGTGACAGGGGCAATTTACATAGCTACTAGTGACTTGATGCCTTTAAGATGGAGGACAATTACTCTGTAAGCTTATTGCCCTGTATCGAACGGATTTCCATCCCAAAAGTAAAGTGATTTATCTGAATGGGGCTTTTAATCTAGAATAATTCTATCTAAACAAGAGTCCTATCATTTGAACTTCCTGGAAAAAAAAAAATTTTTTTTTTTTTTCAGGGTTGGGGTGAATTTAAAACTATTAATTTTTTTTAGCAGCATCAAAGTGACACTTAATCTGAAGTGTAGACTATTTGCCCATAATGGGTAGATCTGTAAATATTGTTATGTGACAGTATTGTTACTGTCGTGTAAAATAAGATTATTTTTTTATGATTTTTTTTTTTTTCTGTGGATCAGAATTTTTTTAAAAAAAAGCTTTATATCTTTAACACCGCTTCAATTAATTTAAATGCCCCAGCATCTGGGTCTGTTATAGAATTACTTTGTTTAAAAAAAAATAAAAAATCTTAATAATAAAAATGTAATTAACATTTTGTGCTCAGGGAAATTTACCTGGTGTCTTTGTGATTCTATGGCCTGTCTCCTTTCAAATAAAGCAATTGTTTGCTCAAACTTTACATTTGTCTCGTGTAACTTTAATTTAGAAATAATCCTTGCTGTATACTGGTTTGTCAATTCTCCACTACATACCTGGGAAAACTGAAGATTTACAGGGTTATACACTAACGTGAGAATTCAAAGTGAGTTTCAAATTTAAGTTCAAAATGGCCGAACTAGAACATTTCTTACAGTTGTGCTTTCAGTTTGGCTAGTCCGACCTTAAAGTTAAATTCACTTTAAATTCTCAGTTTAGTAAATAGCCCTGTTAATGACCATGCAATATTATTATTCATCTTATGGTGTTTGGGAATGGAATGACTTTTAAAGTAGAAGGAATTGGTACAAAATGTATGGAACCACACTAGAATAGGTCACACCTAGAACGGTATGAGGTGCACTTGTAATATTCCAATATACTTAATTCACTAAGTATTTAAAGTAGGCATGAGACGTGTTCATACCCTGGCAATGTGCAAATTCCTATCAGTAATCAATATATTTCTAAAAATATAAAAACCCTTGAATATACGAACTTCTTATAGACCAGTGACATTTGTAGACTTGATGGCTTTGTAGAGTGTCTGTCATTTGACAAGTTAAACTTTGCACGGAAAATAAGTGTAGATCAACCACTTTAAAAAAGGCCGAAATATCACAGAGGTCAGGATCTAGCTGCGTCAAAATTTACCTGTGTGACTGTGAATACAAAATGGTATAATCTTCCATTCCTATATTCGTATCGGGGAATATCAGAAACATGTATAATATAACTCAAAATTCAAACTCTGTATATGAAGAGGATGCCTAAGGATGTGTACGAATAGGTGTAAACCTCCAAGACCCACATACTCCAGAACATCAGTGGTATGACCTCTGCTTTCGTTTTCCTCTAAATTACAAGCAATAAATAGAGATAGTGAAATATACACCAGCCAGTAATAAAGATATAACGAGTGCCAACTGGTATAAACCCCACCATACAGCATAGAATACTCAATGTCGCTAAAGTGCCTTAAAGGACCATATTATTCTTAAAGGGTAACAAATATTAATTTCTAAAAAAATTTTCCTCCTAAATAAAAGGGACAATTCAAAGCGTAAAGTAAACATAAATATTTGCTTAATTCATTTTCTTAATGGTCCCCCGCCTCCTTTGCATGTACATCATCCGCAGACGTTCCAGCTTAGTGATTGGCTCACGTAAAAGTTGTTACAATGCAAACTAATGCAAATATGGTTCGTAGACTATTTGTCCTTTGGTCACTCTTAATATATGTAGCTAAGATTTATTTATTAATTTTTCCTTCTCGTCCTTGGCTTCACATTTTTTTTGGCTTATGAATACAAATTAATTGGACATCTTATGTACCGACAACTTTAATAGTTTTCTCTGAGGCTATGCTGGCTTGTTTTAGCAAGTTGCTACCCGAAAACCACATTCTTGCTGCTACTTTCTGGGTCTGTAGAGTAGATTTCCTGTTAAGCTGCCCACATCAGCCTGGCACTATGAGTAAGACAATGCCACGGCACTGTGTGTTGCTACCCACAAAACAAACAAAAAAATATATATATTAAAAATTTTAAAAAAAATATATAAAGAGCATTTGCTGATGAATCAGACGTTATTGAGAAATGAAGCGTCTGTGGGCAGAAAAAGAGAAACAGTTCTAGTTTCTATTTTACTGATGAAGTTAGTGACTCTGACTATAGATTTCCTTTTCCTTTCAGGGAAATTGCATCTGAGTGGTTTCATGTTACATGTACTAACTTTGTTTTGCAAGGTATATAAATTATTGGTAATGTGTAGATCAGAAACCTAAAAAGAAAAATGAATAGGATACTTTAGGCTCCCCACTAATTTAAAAAAATTTATTTTACAAGTTCGAACTTAAATAATTAGCTGTATATTTTCCTACTGATAATTTTTCAATTTTGTTTTGTTTACTTTTTTTATAAAGAAAAAAATGCTTTGCAGCTTTCTTCATCTTATTCCAGCCTCCTCTGTCCCAAGTTACTTCCTTTTTGTTAGATACTGTATCTGTTTACTGTGTCAGCAGCAAAGCTTTCTGGGATTTGTAGGTATAACAGCTTACCTGAGTAGAAGGCTAATAACCACATTACTACAAGTCCCAGAATTCCCTCCTCTGGCCAGATGGAAGGCAGACCAGGAGAGATTTAGAATTGGGTGTTTTGACATTATAAGCATGTCTATAGCACCAACATATTCCGTAATGCTTTACAATCATAGAATGGAGGTATTCGACAACAAGTAATTGACATACAGAATATAATAGAGGCAAAAGGTACAGAAGGGCTGCTTAAATGAGCTTAAAATCTATGTTAATTAAAAATGCATTTTAGATTAAGCATTAAAGGAACGCTCCAAGCATCATAACCACTGCATCATATCCTGCTGACATTATAGTGCCATGTCACACTTTTTAGTATGGTTTGGCAACTTGCCTGTGCCCACTGGGTGTTCGCTCCACATCTGAATTCGGTTACACTGTTTGGACGTATTCCTTTAAATAAAAAAATGCAAACTGGCATGGTGCTGATATTTTTACAATATTGTATTTTTTTACTAGGTATTTAATGCACACACAGACTTTAAAGGGACACTATAGTCACCACAGCATCAACAGCTTATTGTATTTGTTCTGGTGAGTATAATCATTCCCTTCAGGCTTTTTGCTGTAAGCACTGTCTTTTTAGAGAAAATGCAGTGTTTACATTACAGCCTACGGATACCTTCACTGGCCACTCCTTAGATGGCTACTAGAGGTGCTTCCCGGGGCAGTGCTGCACAATGTGCATCACTGGCATTCAGTGTCTCCTCCCTCTACATGGAAACACCAACCTTTCCTCATAGAGATGCATTGATTGAATGCATGTCTGAGGAGATACTGATTGGCCGCGGTTGTTTTTGGCTTGATCCTTGACAAGCTCAGCCAATCCAATGCTTTCTTCTGTAAAATCATTGTGATTGGCTCAGAACACCACTTCTTATGATGTCAGCCAAGCAGGCTTATCAGGGGCAGAGCCAGCTGTAGCAGACTGGACTAAAAGTAAGATTTTACTATATTTAGATGGGTCGGGGGAGGTAGATGGTGGTTTTAATACTGTAGGGTCAGGAAAAAATTTTGTGTTCTTGACCCTATTGTGTTCCTTTAACAAAACTGTCAGCAATTTAAGGTGTTACTATTGCTCAACTGTGTTCACTAGATTGACCGTGGAAGGTTGAAGCCATGATTAGAGTGATCCAGAATTCTATGACAGTCAAATGTAGTTCAAAGGAACCTTATCGGGTGTCTTAGATGGTGACTTGTGTCAGACTTTTTACCTAACTAAAGATCACTTTGCCTTTCCTGACAGCTCACTGCTCACTCACATTAAGATGACATCAGGTACCCTTGTTGGGCTAAGAAATGTGGACATTGGTCAGACAAGTGTGTGCACCTTAAACAAAAGGTCACTTAAATGGCAGTGTGCAGTGAGAGAACTCTGGGGGCCCTGAAAACTGAAGGAGAGACATCGGAACACCCCTAGACCAGACCCCAGCTCGTTTCACTTCAGAATATAGTGATAGTGTTACTTCAGCTTGGTCACACTCAGACCTAATTCTACACCAGCTTTAGGCCTCACCTTGGCAAATATTTCCATTTGTAGGAGTAGGGAGTGAAAGTAGACTGGCTATTCTTATTGACAAGGTTGGCCTATTGGGGTGAATTAGGATTAATGAATACTGGTCAATTTTAAACAGGGCCGAGTATGACCAAATGAAGCAGGGCACATTAGCATCAATGGGTGACTAAAGATAGACCTACAACTCCCATGATGCTTTGTTATCTTAAGATGTAAGAATGCATTATAATGCAAAGATAACATTAAGCCAATTCCAATGGGGGAAAAAAAAAAAGAGACTAAAGATGCATTAAAGTAGGTTAAGTTAGGGCTCATCATTTTGTTGTCTGAGAGAGACATCCAAAATGTTGCAAGCTAAGTGCATGCATTTATTTTGTGGCATGAGTCACGCACAGTATCATGGGATTCAGCAAAGATGTGTAATATTTATTTTTTTGTAACAAAAACCAAAATGGACAATGTTGCCCAACACAGCCTCAAACATAAATCCAAAATGCGGAACACAAAACGTTCCCCACCCCCAGGCCTTTGCCATTGTCTATTGGTAGAACAATAGAGCAAGCCTGCTTGTTATATTTTTCTGTGTAACATGCCCGGAGTTTTTGCATGTCAAAGACGGGAGAGTTCCATTCATAGTGCCTATTCTTTAAGTTTAAACCAAGCTCCCTCCCACCCTGGCTTCACAATACAATATGACTGGCGCATCCTTTGTGGTTCTAGTTACCACGACAACCACCCTGGAGGGGTAAAGAAGAAGAGGCTGTGTCTGCATAGATTTGTTTTAGCTTGTTATTCTGGAGAGCTTTGGTAAAGTGTTTATTGGGGTGTTAATAAACTGTTTGGATTTGGAAGAAGGAGGGGGGAGCATTTTGGAGGTCACGAAAAAAATCGTTGCTTGTTTTAGTTTAAAACCATCCTTTGTGGGTAACTCTGCCTCATAAATTACTGGTTTAACTGCTACTATAATACCATGAGCACACTTAGCCATTAACCCTTACAACTCCTGGGAATAGAGGCAGATATTTGCAAGGTTACTGAATGTAATGAATTTCTGATTTATTTAAGAAACAATCATGGTTGGATTTGCGCCATTTTGTTAATGCATTATGTAGTTAATGCTTGAAAAAAATATATGCAAAAATATGCATCAAACGTGCTCAGATTTGAAGTTTCCTATCTTTGCTGCAAATGTTCGATCTGTGCAGCTTCTGCAGTTGCGTTGCAGACAAATGTTAACATGTCTATATACACTGTAGGCAAGAAAGGGGTTAATAAATTAAAATGTAAACGTTAGGCCTTTATTGTATTTAAAAAATTTAAAACTAGATTGGGAGTTTCAATTTTATCATATGGTAGTCTGGCAAGGCACAGT